AGATGGCCTATTGGTTAAGAGCACTTGAAAAATAATAGATAAATAAATGATAAATCAAAATAAATATAAAATAGGGGTTCATGGCTAGAAAGGATGGCAGGCATTGCCAAAAGTCCAGGACCCTGGCATTATATCCAGGCCATTTGGGGACCAAAGCTGTGCTGGGGGTCTGTATTTGAGAGCCATGGTTGTTCAGTCAAGGCTGACCTCAAACTTGCCATCCCCCTGACTCAGCCTTCTGAGTCTTGGGATGATAGGCATAAACCATCATGCCTGACTAGACCCCTGCTTTAAATCCTAGGGTCCTAGGCAGGAAACTGAGAGCCATGTGAGCCACTGTTTCAGCAGGGTCTAGAGCCCACAGAAGGGCCTGACTATAGCCTTCCCCTCCCTCACCAGGGCAAACAGTTTCTTCTCACCTCCTGTCACATGGGGGAAACTGAGATAGTCAGCCATCATGGCATGCCACGGAAAATGCTTCCAGCCCCACTATTCTTCCAAGCTCATATGCCACCTCACCCCTTGTGGCAGTGGACTCCTGCTGTATCCCTGACCTGGGCTCCTGCCTTACCAGGTCCTGTTCTTGTGGATGTGCCATCTTGTATCATCCTGAGCCTGCTGGGATAGCAAAGCCTGACCCATCCAGGTAGCCATCCTCCAGAGACCCCACCCCCAGCCAGTCCACCCCAAGATCATTTCCTGAGACTACTGCCACCTGCTGGTGGGTAATGGTACTGTATGACCCTACAACTATCACAGGAAAACCTGGGAGCTGCTACAATTACCTCAGACCTATCCAGTTGTATCAGGAAACTCTCAACTCAGCCAGGCATGAGGGTTCATCCCTGTCATTCCAACACTGGAGATGGAGGCAGGAGATAGCCAAAAGTTCCAGGCCAGCCTGCGTAGTTCCACACCAGCATTAGGTTTCCATCAAAACAACATGCACAGTTCCCTTGTCTGAGGTATGACCTTGATGAATTTGTGTTCAACATTCTGAGCTGTCACTGATGCCCTTTCTTAAATATTTTCTTCCTTTGGAGAGGGCCCCACCCACTTACAGTCTCCTAGCTCCCTGTTGTGAGCACTGGAACTGGACACTTGTCTCCTGGTGCAGCTCTGAAGCAATCTCAGAGTTCCTCACAGCTCTGGTTTGCTTGTTGTCTGATTTCCTTTTTTTTTTTCCTTGTTTTTGAGACAGGGTCTTTCTACGCAGCCCTGGCTGTCCTGGAACTCACTATGTACACAAGGCTGGCCTTGAACTCCAAGAGCTCCTCCTGTCTCTGCCTCCTGACTCTTGGGATTAAAGGTGTGCACCACCAACACCCAGCTCAGCTTCAGGCTTTTGCCACTCGGCTCCACGGCCTTCTTTCCCCACCCACACCATGCAGGTGGCAGGACACGTCTTGGAGCCCCAGATCTTGGAACCAGCCTCATTTGTCCTTCACTGGCTGTGTGGCCTCAGGAAAACCACATACCCTCTCTGAGAAGGTTTACTTATCAGCCAAAGACCTCTGGTGACAGAAAGCAGCAGCTCACTTTGTTCCACCGTCCTGTCCACTGTCCATGTTCAAATGTCTAGATCATGTCCCAAGTTTCAGGCTTGGGGGCACAGACTGGAAGTTCCAGGGGCTCAGTAATTAAACAGTCCAGTGCCTCCCCCTTGGTGGGCAATTGGCCAAGGATGACTTCAAATGAATAATTAGAAAAAGAAAATTGCATGGCTCTATGCTAGGGCAGGTGTGGTCATGGAAAGGCACTCAGAAGTGAATATTGAGAATGAGCTAATCTGGGGACAAGCAGAAGGTGGAGTGCCCTCGGCACATGCGAAGGAGCTTGGGAGTGAATAGTGTGGCTGGAGTGGGGAGGGTGAGCAAGGGTCAGGGGTCATAAGGCAAGGGTGAGAGGGCAGGGGCCAAAGAGGTGCTGGTGTCCATCCTGGGGAGAAGAGATGGCCTTGTTGAAAGTCCTGGGATGCAGCCTGATTGAAGTGCCCCCCCTCTCCTCCCTCTCACCTCCCTCTGTGTGTGTGTGTGTGTGCGCGCGTGTGCACACGCGTGTACTTGCCTGTGCATGCACACAGGGAGGCCAGCTGTGGACCCCAGTGTCCCCTTCTATCACTTTCCACTTTTTTTCCCCTCCAAATTAAGGTAGGTTCTCTCTACATAGCCCTGGCAGGTCTGGGTCTCTCTCCGAAGGCTGGGCTAGCCTCGAACTCACAACTCACAGAAATCCTACTGTCTCTGCCTTCTGAGTGCTGAGATCCACCTTGATTTTTGATACAGCTTCGCTTCTCTCCAAACCTAGAGTTGCGTGCGCACACTGATTCGGCCAGGCGGAGCAGCCAGTCCCGGAGGCCTTGTCAGTCTCCTCAGCACAGAACTGGGGTTACAGGTGGGTACCTCAGTACGGTCCTTCTACATGAGTATCGGGGATTTGAACTCAGGTCCTTAACCTTGTACATCAAGTACTTTACTCTCTGAGCCATCTCTCTAGCTCCTCCCCTCCCTTCCTTTCTTAGATCTAAGGGAGCCCAGGCTGCCCTCACACTCACCTTGAACTTCTGATCCTCCTGCCCCCATCCCTTGAGGGATGGGCTCTCAGTTGTTCACCACCATGCCCAGTTTATGTGGTGCTGGGGCTGGAACCCAGCGCTGCTTTGCCCACGATAGGCAAACATTCTGCCCACTGAGCTGCATCTCAGCTGCTCAGCAGTGTTGCCCCGCCATTTCGGGAAGGAATGCTGCAGCCAATGACAGCTCTGGTGAATGGTTTAGTGACATTAGCCATCCATGCATCTATTCTCAGAACTTTCTCCTCTCCCTAGGCTGGAGCTTTGTCCCCATCAAACACATTCCCTACCCTCTCCCTACTCCTGGCACCTGAGTTTCTGTAGATCTGACATCCTGGGGACCCACTTATGACTCACAGCATGGAGCCTTTTTTCAGAATTTTCTTCCTTTTTAAAGGCAGAGTAACATTCCATAAGTGTCTGGCTGCATTTTATTTGTTCTGTGATGGAAACTCTGTTTGCGCCCCCTAAAGGCCCCAGTGAGTAATGCTGTTGTGAGTCCAGGTGTTTCCACCTGGCCAGGAGTCCCGTTCTCACTGGTTTGTTTGTATCTGCGAAGGTTGCTATGGTTATTCTGAGTTCAGCTTGGTGTTCTCAGAGCTGCCACGGTGGTCCTCATGACAGCTGCACCATTAAATGTTCACTCCTGATGGGTGTTTGACTCCTCTGGCAAAATCTCCAAGGGCACCTCCTTACTCATGGAGCCTGAGTTCCTTGCAGGGTGCGGGGGGGGGGGGGTAGGCAGCAGAAACGGGCTGTTTTCATCACCACCCACCTCACCCCCACTACTCTTCTGTGTGGAAGGAAACACAGCTTCCTCACATGCCCATGTTATCCCTAGGCTGAGGCCTCTGATTCCCAGGACTTAGGGTAACTTTGAACCTGGGACTTGATCTATCCCCTCTCTGCAGTTGTCAGTATGGGGTCTTCTTCCTTTTAGGAGGAAGAAGGCCAGGTAGCAAGGCCTGGTACTACTGTGCTAGGGAAGTTGAAACAAATGTCACAGCTTCATTTGGGTGTGATTCAATGACCTGTGTGACATGTTCTAGACTCAAGATCCCATCCCCAGCACTGCAACACACACACACACACACACACACACACACACACACACACCCCATAACCAACTAACCAAAAAACAAAAATAAAAACAAACAAAAAGCAGAAACAAAATATCACCAACCTGGTGGTGGCTTAAACAGCAGGAATGTATTATGTTACAGGCTAAAGGCCAGATGTCCAAGGTCACAGAAGTGACCTAGCTTTTTCTAAGGGTTCAAGGCTCTCTTGCAGTGCCCCCTGAGCTGCTGGGGCTCTGGCAGCCTCCAGCCACTTAGTTGTGGAAGTTTCACCCTGATTTAAACCCCCAGACCCACACAGAATCTCACCCGTGGAATGCTCTGAGTATCTTTGTGTGCCTTTCCCATGGGTTTCCTGGATGTATACTCCCCCAACCCCCACACCAGTACTGCTCATGGCCAAATCTCTCCACTGGGACCCCTGGCTTGGGCTGGTACCTTCCCTGGGCCTGTACGGCTTCCTATAAGCAACACACATCTAGTACAATCCCTCTTGGAAAAGACTGTGTTGTGTCAACCGGGGTCAGGTGGCCAGGATATAAACTGAGCAGGACATGAATGTACTCCTGCCTCCCTCCTAACCCAGGCCTCTGACCAAGGGCAGGGGACAGACCCCCAAAAGGTGGTCAGCTGTAAAAGTAACCCAGACTCCTGTTAGGTCACTTTTAAATAGCAGCTAAAGACATTTCCCCATCCCCCACCCCTACCCAGGGACTTCTCAAGTAGAGGTCAGGAAGTCAGAAGTCCAAGGTCATTCTGTGTGCATGCCTCATACATGCACATCCTCTTGGGAATATACCAACACTCTTTTACACACACATGTGGCTATTTGCAAACATAAGAACCCATGAACACATGCATGCATGCGGGCACCTCAGCCCTTTCTCTGTACACAGCCTGCCTGCCACATTGCAGGGAAGCCCGCAGACTACTGCCTTTCCCACCATCAGCAGAATGTCCCAGCCAGAGTCTCAAGGTATCCTCAGCCTGTATCCCAGCTGTTAAATAGCAAGACAGAGAGACACATTTAATGTTTGAATCATAGCCCCTTCCACTGTCCACTGCCTCAGGTTACCAGGACTGTCTGCCACTGCCTGGGCTTTGGGTCACCCCTGCAGTAAAAGCTCTCTCCCATGTAATCGCACATACATCTTGAATTTCCAGTCTTCCAGGGGCTCTGATTCAAGTCCCTCAGTGGCTGGCACTTGCTCTTTGGAAGCCACCAAGGACAAGCAAGTTCTTGGCACCCCAAGCAGACAACTCAGAGACAAGTGTGGGGAGGCCAGGCCGCCAAGAGAATCCTGGGTGTCTGCAGGGAGTTGACCTCACAGAGTTCTCAGGGTGGCCACTCAGACCACAGCCAGTTCACCTGTCTCTAGATGGGTGGCTGGAGTGGCCCTAGGAGACAAAGGTTCCATCTTGCCGTGGTCTCCTGGGCTCTGTTTCTTTTGCCGCCGCTGTCTGGGCTGGCTGCCCTCTCCTGGGACTCTTGGTTGGCCACTCTGCAGCAGCCTTACCATCTCATGGTCCTTGTGGCCCAGCACTCGGGGCAGGAAGAGGGAGGACTTCTGTGTCCGGCGGGTCTTGAAGCCCCTGCGTGGCCGGCCCTTACCATTTACAGACACATACCAAGGTCTCTGGGCACCAGGCTGCCGCCGAGCCCCTGAGCCGCTGGGCCCTGTGCGATACAGGCGGGAGGCATAGGTATTGTAGCCCAGCTCATGGATCCGCTCCACAAACTCACACTCTGCATTGTAGTGCTCCTGTTGGACAGAGGCCACAGATAACAGCCATGGAGGCCATGATGCCAACAGAACCATACCTCCCCAATGCCTCCCTCTCTCCCGAGGCTGCCTGGACCAGCTGTCCACACCTGCCAATGTCTATGCAGCCTGGCCAGCCTACCTTTCTCAAGACTGGGCCCTGCTCCAAGTGACTTCCCTACACTAACCCTCCTGTGAGGACAAAGGGCAGTTTTCTCTTTTTGCTGTAGCCTTGCATGGGGCTCACTGCTTTTTGTGCAGTAGATAGAACATGATGGAGGTGGATGAATGGGTGTGTTGGTGAGTGAATGGATAGGTGGATGGATGGGTAATAGATGGGTAGATAGATGGTGGATAGATGAGGGGTGGGTGAATAGATGGGTGGGTGGATAGGTGCATTGGTGGGTGTATGGATGGGTGGGTGGCTAGATAGATGGTTGGGTTTAAGGATGGTACATAGGTAGATGGATGGATGGGTGATGTGTTGAGTGGTGAGGTGGGTGGATGATAGACGTCTGGGTGGATAGTTGGGCATATAGGTAGAAGGATGGATGAGTGGATAGATAGTTGGCTGAATGGATGGATGAATAGATATAGACAATGAGTGGACAGGCTGGAGGGCAGAGGAACTACAGGCCAGTCATCCAACCCCAAGGCTGTTGCGGCTCCAAGTAGGAAGTGATGAGGCCTGTGTGCTAAGGTGTTGCTTCCAGGATTAGGCATCAGGAGGTGAGGTGAGGTGCGTGTTGAAGACAGCAACTCAAGGAGCACCCCTGAGGACTTGGAGATGAGCTGGATATTGGGCTAAGAAAGGAGGAGGTTTGGCATGGATCCTGGTTGACTCAACTGGAATCAGTGTTACCTGAGACCATGAGCAGTAGTGAAGGGTGTGTTGAATTTCAGTGTGTGGGGGAGGATGTTGCACTCTGGCAGCTCTTATAGCACTGAATGTTCTGGGCAGTTGTCATCTATAACTCAGGGAGGTGGGGAATGACTGTGGGGTTGTCACTGACCCATAGATGCAGAACATGGACAACCATGCTGGGCACTCAGGAAGCCAGGGACAGGCCTTCAGGAAGAAGCCTTAGAAACCAGCTGGCAGCTGAAAGAAACTGGGGCCTTATACTCAGGTATGCCTACAAGTTTGTGAGATTGTCTCTGATGGGTTCCCTGACCTCACCATCCCCTGCTCCCCTGAAGTCAGGAAACCACAGTCATATCCCCACCCCATCAAGCTCTTCCCTGTGGGCAAGAAGATGGGAACTGTCATCTAGGATACCTGAGACCTTACCCCATAGCAGAATTTCTGGGGGAGTGCCAGGTTCATATGTAAAGTTAACTGAATTCACTCACACTAGAGTGGGACAGGACACAGGGTCCAAGGGGTTAGGCAAGTCACCAGCCCAGCACTGTAGCAGCTGGGACCCATCGCTCCACCAAGGGTGTGTCTATCACACCTCAGGGCACCTGAGCTTCTGCTACTAGGTGGCCCCAGGGCCATGTGGGGTCCCAGGGAATGTCCTCGCCCTGCCCCAGTGCTGGAATGACAAGACAACACTTTGGCCAGTACTGATACCTGGGTGCTAAGGACCCACTCAGATCTTCATGCTTGTGCAGCCAGCACTAGACTGACAGCTGTTTCTCCAACCCCTCAGTCCCATCCTAAGCCAGACAGCCCTTACCTTCCCACCCTGACAACAGGCCAAACACCCATCTTTCTTCCTCCATAGATGCAGGGCAGGTTTGCTCTGGCCTCCCTCCCTCAACTATCCCTCCCAGCTATCTTGGGTTGTTCATTTGCATGGAGTTCTGGGACCCTGCTGCCATAAATCTATCTCCACTGTTGTAATTCAGAGAAAGAGACAGACTTCAGACTGGTTGGATGGACACTCAGAAGCCCAGGGATCTAGACCCAAGCATTCTACTGCTTATGTCCCTTGTGGCCCCCAGCCAGATGCTCAAGCCAGATGGCTATTCCTTCAGCACCTGCCCACTAGTGATGGGACTCACCGAAGCGTACAGCCGTCCTCTCTTGTTCATGGCCAGGTACCGCCCAGAGAAGAGCCCTTTGATGGCCACCACACCCACTTCCACTGCAGTAATCTCCAGGATGCCTGGAAAGAGTCAGGAAGGGTCCATCACCTGTCCTACCTGAGCAAAACCTCAGCCTGCGTTAACACCCGCCGACTTAGGCAGCTGGGACAGGAAGGAGGGCAGCCATGGCAAACAGGTCATGGTGGAGGGGTTGGAAGTCCTGGTAGGAAGGACGCATTAGACAGGAGGTGAAAGGGGACATTCAGCCACTGTGCCAGAGACATTAATCCTAACCCCAGGTGAAGACACAATGGAGTTGTTCTGCTCCTGCCAGGCACCTTGGACCCAACATAGGCAGATCTACTCAGCCTGTATTGGGTGCATTCTTGTGAACTGGCTTGTTCTAGCAAGATGAGGCTGAGGACAAGTGACTTGTCCAAGGTCACCCATAATAATTGGGGGATCCAAACCCCAGGGCAGACGGAACCCTAGAAGAGAAGGCATTGGAGACTCCTGGGGAAGCCAGTGCTGAATTCACCCAACCATAGTGCTATCCTCACTGGTAGGGAAGGAATCCAATTATGAGTCCTGAAAAGTAGCTTGGGACAGAAGCACCTAGGTGCCAGGATGGAGAGGTGGTGGGGTGGGAGTGGTGGGTGGTGATTGAGGCTCACCCAGGCCCAAGAGTAGGTAAAAAAGTTAACAGCCCACCAGCCCAGATGACAGGGTAGCTGCCAAGACTGGACCACTTGAGTTTGATCTCCTGAGCCACATGGTGGAAGTAGAGAAATGACTCCAGCAAGTGGTCCAGTGACCTCCACACACACATCATGGCACACAAAATAAATGAAATGTAAAACCAAACAAACAAAAATCCCCCAGGAGCCTTTCCTATGAACAGTATAGTGCTTTTGTGAGGGGAGGCCAATATCCCCTGGGATAATGAGTGGAGGACTCACTCCTTTTCTAGGGAGCACACCTCTGGCACCCACCTGGGACCCAGCATAGTCCAGATAACCAGGACCAGTTGAGGTTCTGCCCTAGACACTGTTTGGAGGGGTACAGGGTGCGGCCTCTAGAGCTAATGCCAAGGGAGCACCCACCTAGGTGCCTCCTGGGGCGACTGCAAAGATGCCCCTCCTCTCTCTGCCTCTGGGGCCGCCCCTGAGCCCCGCGCTCCATGCCGGGCAGGGGCTGGTCCCCAGGACGCCCCCGCTTGGCTGCGGCTTTGAAGGAGGAAGCTGCGGTTCCTGCAGACGCCCGCGCCCCCTGCTCGGCTTCCTGCGCCCCGGGCGCGGTGAGCTCTGCACGGCCTCCTTCCCACGCGGCGCGCAACGCTCGGGGCAGAGCTCAGTTCTCGTGTACCGCACCCACTGAGCCAAAACCCCGCAGCTCTTGGGAACTGGCTCTGGGTAGTATGATCGAGCCTCAGGCCGTGCGTGTGTGCCAGATGAATCCAAAACATGCGGGGTCGCCCTCTGTCCTGTCGCGCGCTTTCCTGAAGGGCTCAGGATGAGGGACAAGCCTGTCTCAGGACGCCGCGTCGCGGAAACCGAGCTCTGCCCAGGGGAGTGTCCTTGGCGCATCGGCTGAGAGCAACGAGGACGGAAAGAACTGGCCATGCGCCCCGGGGTCGTCAAAACAATAAAGAGGGCGATAAATCCTTGTCCAGCGGCTTTTCACTGGGAAATACAAATGTATTGGAACCGTAGTCGCCTCCCTCGCAGCCCCTAGCTGAGCGGGACGGGCGGGGCGTGTCTCTGGGATCCTTAGCTGGGACCGAGGTACGTCTTCGGACGGACTTCAGCTCAGATCCCACCTGGGACGCGGCGACAGGGGATCTAGCCCTCCCGTCCCTCCCGCCTACCCCTGGCGGGACACTCACTGTAGGCGCTGTTCTCCAGGCTGCCGTTCACGCGGCCGCTCGGGTGTAGCTGGAGGTGATACTTGGTGGCGCAGTAAAGCTTGCGGCGCCGGGGCGCCCCGCCGAGATGCTCGTAGACGCCGCCACGGCCGCCCGCATCGCGCCGCAGCCGCGTCCCAGGCCCCGTTGCTGGCCAGCCGGGTTCTAGCAAGCTAAGCAGCAGAAGCCAGATCAGGCCCATCCCGGCATTGCGCCCGCCTGCGGCGGCGGCTGCGCCAACGCGGAGCTCTCGGAAGGCGCGGCGCTGGGATCACACTCCTGCGCGCCAGGCCGTGCGAACTGCGTCTGGGAGGGAGGAGAGTGGGAGAGAGGGACTGGGAAGAGGTGGAGGACAGGGAAGGGAGGATGAGAAGGATGAGGAGACAAGGAGAAATGGGGAGAGAGTGCAGATGGAGAAAGGGACGGGTGGAGAGAGGGAAAGAGAGGTGGAGAGAGGATGCGGAGAAAGAGGAGAAGAGGTGGAGAGAGAAGACTTCGAATTTTCACCCAGGAATGGCGAGAGCGTTCCCTTGCCGCACACAGCTCAGAAGAAAGGGCGCTCGGCAACAAAAGGCGGCCGTGATTCCTGGCAGGGGCGCGGGGCTCAGGCCCGTCGTCGCCTGCTCACAGTGCCCTGACCAGCGCCGTCGGGCAGTAGCTTCTCGGCAGAGCGCCCTGCACCCCCTCCCGCCTCTGAAAGGTCCCCGCCCCGCCCCCGCCCCCAGACCAATTATGCCTCGGAAAATTATAGAGCAAGGCCTAAAGGCAGCCGCCCCAGGCCCTGTCACCCCCTCCCGCCTTACATCAATCCTGGGTGCACAATGGGACCGCGGATGACTGATGTCTGCGCAAACAACTTGCGGGGAAGTCTAGCTGACAAATGCTCATGAAAGGCGGCGCCTAATCGAGAGCGATTGCGGAGGGCGGTGCGTGGGGAACCTCGGGTTGGGTCTGTGCAAGTCGCTGCTTCTCACAGGAGCCTCTGAGCTGTCCTCAGCTGCCCAGTCTTGTGGACCAAGACCCCTGGGACACTATGTTTTGTAGTTTCCTAACTGACCGGGAAGGCACCTAGTGAAGCTCACACACCTTGAGCAGGAGTGGTCTGTCTCAACAGTGGTCCAGAGAGGGGACTGGGCAGAAAAGAATTAGGGACAATAGAGTCAGAGAGCCTTAGAGCCCTGGAGAAGAGGAGAGAGATGGAAATGGGGTTGGGGGAATCAGGTGACAGATCTACTAGAAGAGAGAGATGAGAGGTGGAGAAATGCCTAGGTGCTGCAAAGGACCCCAGCAAGATCACTTGGCAGGCTGAGTAGGAGACTAGGTTCAGAGAACAGCTTCCTGAGTTCCGGGCTCTTGACTTCAGTTCCCATCTGCTAGTGGCCTCAGAGAAGGTGTCAGAAAAGATTCCACCCCACTTTCCTGGCCTGCACCTCCAGAAGTCCTCTGGCCAGGAACTATCCTCATATAGGTGTTCTCGGCTAAGTTACTGCGAGGGCCTTGGTCCTGAGCTCTAGGAGTCAGGTGGGATGCCCCAATGATGTGAGATGCTGTGAAGTGTTGGAGGGCCCTCCATGGTACACAGAAGCTGCTAACAGCACACAGTGGGGCATTTTAAACCCTGGTATCTCATATACAGGACAGTAGGTACTCAGTGAGCACTCTCCAGCATGCTGAGTATTCATGTCCCACACAGCTGAGCGCCCTCAGCGGTCTCCCAGAACCTCTGTCATGGCCAGGGTCTGCAGGGTCTCTGCCACAGGGCAGGCTCCTGAGAATGCTTGAGTAGTCTGAGCCACTGAATTACTAAAGCCCTGGAGCCAGCCATTGATGGAACCTGCTTTACAGGGGGCAGGAACAGCTGTCAGGACAGATGGGTAGGCAGGGCAATTTGCCCTGTGTCTTCATGACCAGCTCTGGGCTGGTACATGCTGGCTGCCAAACCTCCTAAGACGGCCCAGAAGAATCAGGAGGGCATCCCTGAATGCCTCTAGCATAGCTCCTGGAGTCAACCACGGCAGGGCTGAACCCAGATGTGCTGGCACAGGCCTGTCATCTCAGCACTCAAGATGTAGAAGCAGGGCGATCCTGGATTTCAAGGCCAGCCTCAACCACAAAGCAGATTTGATGCCAGCCTCAGCTTTGAGACCCTGTCTTAAAACCAACCAACCAACCAAAGCCAAGAAAGGGTCTGCAGAGATGGCTCTTAGTTAAGATCACTGGCTGGCCTTGCAGAAGACCTGTGTTCATTTCCCAGCATGCATGTAGCTCTGGTTCTAAGGGATCTGACACCATCTTCTGACCTCTGAGGACACCAGGCATACATCTGGTACAAAAACCCACATGCAACAACATGCAAGCAAAGAAAAAAAATACCCATACACATAAAAATAAATAAAGCTTAAACACACATACACACATATATACAAAGAGGTAAGGAGAGAGTGTGGGGGTCCTGGGGGGACTGGTGTGATGCTTTCTTTTGTTGGTGGACAACCTAAGCTCAGAGCTTCCCTCCTGCTCCACGTCTGGAACCCCAGTTTACTGGTAGGTGTGTTCTTTGCTGTGTCTTCTCCTGGACAGTCCAATCAATGCACTGTAGCTCTCCAGAATACACTTCCAAAGTCAATGAACGGGCCTGCCTTTCCTTGACGTGTTGACTGGCTCATACAGTGTAAACGTCAGAGACATTGACTTCCTTGTATATGAAATTCTAAGCCCAGGTCAGAAACTCAGTAGAGCAACCCCTACCAAGATTCCTGCCACTGCCACCATCAGTGTGCCACCACAGGGACCTCAGGTGCCTTTGAGAGAAAAGGACTTCAGTGGCCCAGCAGATGATCTGGCCCAGGGTCTCCCTGTGGTGGTTCTGGCTGACTTTGGCCTGTCCCTCAATTGTCCTTAAGGCACCCACATTCCTGGCCCAGGGTCTTCCTCTGGTCCCTATGCAAGTGTGTATGGGTCCTTCTACCAACCCTCCACCCTATAGTTGGAAGGTGCTGCCTTCACCCCTACCCCAAACCCACAGCTCATCCCTGTTGTGGAGGCCTTGGTGTACGTGGACTTGTACTTCCTGCTAATACCCCTAACCTGCTTCCTACAGCCCTCTCTTGTCCAGTGAGGTTTTCCTGAGTATATAATCACCTGCCTTCTTGGCCTTGGAAATCCCCAGACTTTTTGGCCTTAGATGCTGTTCCCCCAACCCCCAGGGAGCCTGAATGTGCTGTGCTGGGCCAGAGCTGGGCCTCCATTGTAGTCTCGGGCTGGGCTGAGGCTTTGTCCTTCCTCAGACAGAACAAATCCTAGTAGAGCATGCAGAGGGTGGGGGGCATAATATGGTAATAGACACCCTGTTAATTGCTTCCAAATGGCCAATTGCAGCCTTTTGACTAATTGGTCTCTTCCAGGCCCCCCTCTCATGGCCTGGACACCCCCAGACCTGGCCCAAACCTGCTTAGCACCACTTCCAGGGTCTGTGCTCCGGAAACTCCCTCCCTGATCTCTCTGCTACTTGGCCTGGACCTCCACCTCCAGTTCCTACACCTAGAGAGAGTGAGCTAGGGAGAGGAGGGGCAGGGACAGTGCCGTGTGTTATTCCTGGCTTTTGTCCCCAAATTCACTCTATATTCCATCACCAAAGCAGAGGAAAGAAACCCAGCCTGCTTGTTGGGTGCTGACCTAGGGTCACTGTACCCCTGAAATCCTAAAAGCAGCCCACCTTAGCCCAACCAAGTCAGAGGTGAGCTGACTGACTGGCTCAGGAGCACACAGCTGGGAGATGGGAGTTCACCTGTGTGCTTCAGCTGGAGGCATCTTCAGTAGGCTGGGCTGACTTAAGCATCCTTCATTTGAGTCCCTGGATATTTGCCTTTGCTACCACATGAGTGGTACCCTAAAGCCCAGGCTCCTTCCTGCTTGCTGTGGGGGACAAGCCAGACACCCTCCACAGGTGCAATGAGGCAAAGTGGGAGATGAGGAAGAACTCTGGACCACAGGGATACAATGGGATTTTTCAGCCAGCCCAGGACCATGAATGACAGCAGTGTGTCTTGAGATTCTCCCTAATATGGGCACACACACAAGACAGGTGGGGTCCAAGTCTCATCCCTAGCCAGAGCCCCACCCATATGGGGTAGGGTGGACTCTCCCACTTCATAAGTAGATAAAGGAACACAAGTTTCTAACAACCAGAACAGAAACTTGCCCCAGGCCTGAAGGAATCCACAAACTGAGGTGGCTAACTAAAATGGCTACATTATGGTGGAGCCATCTCTCTTTTTACTAAACAGGGTTTCTTTGTGTAGCTGTCCTGGGACTCAATTTGTAGACAAGCTGGCCTTGAACTCACAGAGATCTGCCTGGCTCTGCCTCATGAGGGCTGGGATCAAAGGTGTGTGCCACCAGGTTCCAGCTTAATGTGGGGCTCAGTACCACTTGTCCCAGGGGCTCTGAGCAACCTGGGGGAGGGGAGAGCCCTCCTGCCCCTGCATGTGCCCAAGAGCAGTAGGGGCTGCTGGATAGAGGGTACCCTTCCCCAACATGCTTAAGAATCTTGGGGTGGGTTCTGCTCTAGGTGTGGAAATGAGAGTTTGGGCAACAGGGAGGGGCAAATGGGGAAGAGATACCCAGGAAATAGTTTACAGGGGGCTTCAAGGTTAAATCAAATGATTTATTTTTCCTTGTAACTTATTTGTATTGTTTCAATTCTGAAACACTTTATTGAGATAATGTAACTTAAAGTGGATTCTCCAATCTCTTTAAAAATGTTTATTTTTATTGCACATATGAGTGTGTTCCTGAATGTATTCTGTGTACCACATGTGTGAAGTGACCATGGAGGCCAGAGAAGGGTGTCAATTTCCTGAACTGGAGTTATAGATAGATGGTTGTAAGCCACCATAAGATGCTGGGACTCAAAAACCCAGATCCCCTGCAAGAGCCACCAGCACTCCTAACCACTGGGCCATTCTTAAGCCTTTCCCCCCTTTCTTGAGACAGTGTCTCATGTGGCTCAGGCTGGCCTTAAACTCATCATCCAGCCAAGGATGATCTGACCTTCCTGATTGCAGCTGGGACTCAGGTGTGCATTACTGTATACAAGCTTTTATTTTTTTCCTGAAAAATTTAAAACAGTTATTTATTGTGCGTGTAGTGGCAGCATCAGGGGTGTGTGCATCATGGCTAACATTCAAAAGGCACACTGGGTGGGGATTGAACTTGGGTCATTAAGCTTGGCAGTAAGTGCCTTTACTGGATTAACCATCTTGCCAGTTGTTTTTTTTTTTTTTTTTTTTTTTTTTTTTTTTTGAGTATTTTTAGTCCCTGGT